CACGGGGAAGCTCTGCAGAGCGGAGGTCTGCTTATGAAAAGCCATCAGACCTAGACAGATGGTGGTAAGGCCGCTGATGAAAAGGTGGGGCAAACAGGACGCAGACATTTAATATCTTCAGTTTGAGAGGCCGAACTAGGACATTTAATCTATTACACAAAGGAAGTCTCTGAACTACCTGCAGCTGAAAAGTTCTTTGAAATTTAAGTTTCATGCATTTTTATTTGGGGCCCCGGAGACGGCCTTCTATCAAGAAAGTAGGTCTTTTATTCCAAGCGTACCTGTGTTCTGTCCATAACTCACCCTGTGGCTTTTGCTTGTTGGCATGTAGATAAGATATAATTACTGGTGTCATGAATTTTAAAAAGTACAGTATTTCTTTCTTTTTAAAATTAACCTTAAAAATGTAAATGGTAATTCTGACATAGCATTGAGGAAAGTTACATGAGAACATGGAAATGTCGTGATTTTTCTCACAGTACTTTTAGATTAAGGGATTTTTAACTGTCCAAGTTAAGACTTTGCTTTATCTCAATGATTACTATTGCCAAAGAAGTATAAATTCATCCCAACAAATTATTCAAGCATGGACTTCCTTGTTAAATTAAAAAATATATTTTGTCAGTGAATGCTGTTATGCATGCCTCCTGAGGAAATACCAGAGCGTTTATACCTCAAACTTTCCTTCAAAATGTCTATCCTCCACAGCTATATTAAATCAACTACCTCCTAGGACTCCCTTATATTCCCTTCCTGGCATCAAAGAACTACCAAAAAAAAAAAAAAAAAAAAAAAAGATAATCTAAGAAACTACAAAAGTCTTTAATACAAAAAGCTATGCCCAGTAAGATGTCTCCTCTAAAACTGTATTCCTCTTAAATATACCTATTTGCCCTATCTCCATTCTAATTTGTAAGCTCTTTCATGACTTCATTATTGATAGTGTTGTATGAAATCATATTTCTCTCTCATTTTTACAATTATTTACTTTTAACTATCTTAACAATAGCATCTATTGTGTGTGCCAGCACTATGCTGAATAGTTAACATGCAGTCTTATAGATATATAGGATATACACTGAGTGGCCAGATTATTATGATCTCTGAACATATGATAATCTGGCCATTCAGTGTGTGTGTGTGTGTGTGTGTGTGTGTGTGTGTGTGTTAGAGACCCAGTGCATGAATTCTTGCATGGGTGGTATGGCCAGCCTGGCCAGGGGGAGAGGACATGGGTGGTTGGCCAGCCCTGCCTGCTGGTTGAACTCCTGGTCCAGGGGAAAATTTGCATATTAGCCTTTTATTATATAGGATATACACTGAGTGGCCAGATTATTATGGATTTAGAGATCATAATAATCTGGCCACTCAGTGTATATGACTATTGTCCCCATTTTATAGATGAGAAAACTGAGGCTCAAAAGGGTAAGTAAGAAGGTCAAATATCTGACAAATGGTGGAACCAGGATTTCAGCACCACAGGATCTGGTCTTGGTGTCTAAGTGCTTATCTGCCATGCTATATTACCCTTCAAGCTTTAGTCAAGTTTCAGCCACATTCACACCAGGTTTGCTTCTCTACTGGAAAGAGGTTGTTCAGATCGAAGATACATATTCATTTCTTTGCTTTTCTTCTCTCCGAATGCATGCACTTGGGTTCTTTTACAGCTGATCTGACTCTCCCCCAACTAACCAGCATTGAAAGCCAATCTTAACATTTGTGATTGGCTTTAGCACTGCATATCTTGGAGAACTGGATATCATTTTTTTTAAGGTCTTACTTAGATGATTGATTATTTATGGATCTCTGAGGGCTACCTGAGGGGGGGGGGGGTGTGGTTTAGAGTCATCAACTCTGCTCTTTTCCTGAAATTACAGTTTGATTTGGTGTATGACCATTTTTACGCATACTCCCTACTGTAAATACAGTGAAACAGCCCATTAAGAGTATTCCTAATCTTGGTTGCTAAGATAAAACACTCTTTAATTCCCTTAATTAGCTCCTAAACTTCCCTTTTGCTTATTTGTTCTGAAATTACTGGCCCATCTTAACAGCTCTGTTTTTATTGCTTATTGCTCTCGTCAAGGATGTGGAGCAGTGCTCCGTTGCTGATGACTGTAGATGTCACCTCACGGTGCAACTTCACTGCCCTGACCCTGCTCGGCCTTTCTCGTGTCGGAGGTAAGTGAGGAGCAGCATTGGAGCAGTATGTCTCCCATGATTTTCTGGTCTCAGGCCTCTATCCTGTTCTGCTTCTTTGGGAACATGCCTCACAGCACACAAGCTGAAGTCCTGGCCTCCATTAGAGAAGTGGGCGTTCTTTCCCAGGGAAGGTGTCTGAAGAAGACAGAGGACCGCTTCCCCACCCTGTGCGTTTATGCTGAGAGCTCTCAGGGCATGGGGAACGAGTGCATGGTTCACCCTCCTCCTGTCTCATAGCCGTCACTTTGCACTTAAGAGCAGTGATTCTGAAGCCTTTTGAAATCAGGCGGGGTGGCTTTCTCTGTGTTGAAGCTGGCATCATCAAGGTTTTGGACAACTTCAAGATGTGCTGAAGTAGCGGGTGCTCTTTGAAAT